TCTATTGCTTGAGGGAAGCTTTTCTTGCCCTGACAGTTCCTTGACACTTTTCTGGCCACCATAGCGGGTCAGTAAATGCTTCTTGTGACCCATGGGATTGCCCAATTCTGCTATTTAACGAACTCTAGAGCCTAATTGGTAGACAGCTTCTTGAACAGATGTGAAAAAATCTGATTCTGAAAGTCTATTAAATATGTTGAATCTTAAAGTGTGAGAAAAGTTGGCTGGAATACCATCTACTTTCCTTAGCAAGATTTGAAAGTGGTTACTTCCATGTATGTCTTCCATGACCTGCCACTTGGTTCATCTTGGTGTTGGCTGAAATGCATTGGGGTGTTGGTGTAAAGGTCATTACGACTGGACAGGAGAGTGCACTCTGCATTTACTCTCTTGGGTTTTATCCAAAGCTACAGTGTATAGTCTCATCAGTATGACCCTCACTGTCATTATGTACAAGGGCTGCAGCTAGAGAGCTTACTGGGTGTACAGGTGTAATGTTTCTGCTAGTAGTAAACTTCCCATAGCAGTTATGAAACTGATATCATAGGGAAAGTTGCCGCTTTTCCCAATAGACATATACAGACTAGGTTATTTATTATCAAGTGTTGAATTATTTCGCAAGCAGTCCAGTAAGCCACGTCGTTAGTAGCAAAATCAAGCCATAACCCTGGAAGTTTTGGTATTTTTTGCAGCTTTGATCAACACCAACATCATGGACCATGAAACTTTCATTTTCAGCACTTATTTTTCTCGGGCCCTGCACTATTAATTTTTGTGTCAGGAAGATAAGACAAAATCAATTAAATGCTAAGTAAATGTTCACAATTAATATCTTTACATTTATTTTGTCATCTGATAAAGTCAAAATTCTGTGACCCCCCCTCTCCCCACCATGCCTTAAGTACGTGCTCACTGTGCCTAATAGTCAGTCCAACCTTGCATCCCAACGAGGCCACAGCAAGTCCTTCGGTGTTGGAAGAAAGAGGCGTCGGAGGCAATTGCGTGTATGGTTCAATCTGAAAAATAACGCAGAAACGAATCTAATAGTCACTGCTGCGCCTCTACGAGTACGCAGTCTGGGAAAGAACTCTAGGTTATAAATCCTTCTCCCTTTCCTTTGCGATGTTACACGGTCGGGTCCAGACATTTTGGAAGGGGTTGGGGCGCGGGGTGCGGAAGCCACCACCGTGCAGGAGAGCAATCCGATGATTATACTTTCATTTGCAATTTCATCTCCGTACTTCGCATTCAAGTATTCATGGGCCTATTCCTGTTGTGGATTCGAAGGAAAATAGGCAACAATAATACTACAACTCTGAAAAAAGCATTACCACACGAAAAATAGGGAGTACCCCCTTGTATTCGACCCAGACCTTATGCAAGCTTTATCATTGCATGCAGATTTTGTTTTAATCCCACATTTTGTATGCAATTCCTATTCAATTATTCTGTACCATGTTTTTTCTCTCTCTTTCCTTATAATATGTTAGGAGTGTATTTTTTTTCAATTATAACCCTTATTAACTCTGTGCTCCATTCCTTCCCTGTTGGATGTATATCCATTTTTTCAAAATTTACTGTACTTGCATTTACTATTCATGCCCATTAGTCCTGTGGTAAAAATCGGTGCAGTTGAGTTGTCAAGAGCTTCGCTTTGACGACACTGACTAGTTATCAAGATAGCTTTTGGCGTAATAAATCATCTTAGTTTTCATTATTATTTTTGCAATAGGATCGAGCATGTAAATTCACTTCCTCTCCGGCTATATATCGCCTGCGTTATGAAAGTCACAGTGGGGCATTATTTACAAAAGTGTATTTCTTTCCTTTTCCTTGGGTGTCGGAAATATAACAAAAGTTAACAAAGAAAGCAGTATTTTGAGGGAACAATGTTTAACAACACAAACATAATTTGATGGCCGAAAATTAGTAAATGGAAAAGCTTAAATGATTTAATGAAGTCATCCCTACAGTTCCTGCAACGGTTGCATCTTCTATGATGAAAATTTTCTTTTCTTTTGTTTAATTCCATTAAGTTTCGCTCAGCAAAAACAGATCTCACTATCTGTTACTGTAATGTCTGGATAACCTGCCGCGCCCACTTCCAGGCCCAGTGAAGTGCCCTGCGTGCCCCTGCGGCCGAGGCTCGAGCGGCAGGAGGGCATGGGGCGGCGGGGAGGGCCGGGCGCTGGTCCTCCGCGAACCATTTCGAAAGCGATCGTTCGAGGCGTCGCTCTACATGTAAACATCTCGCGCGGGAGAGACGCTCGCGAGGAACTTTTTGAGTCCGGGATTCCTGACAGGCGAAGAGGCAATAGATGTCGTCACCATGTCGACCTACCAAGTGAGGTCGCTCGAGGAGGCCGACCAGATCATCCGGGAGCACGAGAGGAAGACCAAGACGACCTATGCCCTCCTGAGATCCACCAAGAACTTCGGCTGCGTTGATGTGCCAGGTGAGCCTTCCTGAAACCCCATCAAAGGAGGTTTTTCCTCGGAGGAGCTGCATTGATGGAAAGAAAGTCACATGCAGAGCGAGACACTGACTGTCATGCCAAACTATAGTTATTCTTTGAAAACCCTCGCATAACTGACTCTGATGACCTAGGTAGTGATAGATTCCTCTCACTCTACTTAATATTGAAATTATGCCACAGAACCCCCCCTCCCCCTATTAGCAACAACCTTAGCCCCGATAGCAGGGGTATGAAAGGAACCAGGGAAAATGCCAGGTAAAATATGAAAGATATACACCGGATGTCACTATATTGTCTAATGCAGTGGCTGTGCCCACTGCGAGCTGCCTTCTGGGGGGCTGCTGCCCCTAACCCTAGCAATGAAAGATAAAGAATCTTCCATGTATTCATGGTAGGTTAGAGCTTATGACCGACATGCAGGAGCACACGTCTTGCTGTGAATATATGGAGGATCCTTTGTTTTCTGGGTGCGGGGTAAGGGGCAGCAACCCTCCATGGGGGGTGACTGATTTTGTGTTTATCATTTACATTTTACTCTGCAATTCTTCAGGTACCTTGCATGCCCTCCCCTGCCGTTGGGGCCAAGAATGGGGGTTCTGCAGCATAATTTCTACACATGTGTGTATTAGAGGGTAAGAAGAATCCATCAGTACCAAAATTGTTAGTCAGTTATGTGAAAGTATTGGGAAAAAATACCCATACTACAAATGCTCAAATGTTGATAATCAAATCCCTTGACATACAAATTATTTAAGGATTTCTGAATTGAAACACGTATGCATTTGCCATTATATCTTGATTAACTAACAAATTCACCTATACACAGCTGATAATTATATAGAAAACCTGGTCATGGCCATTACTAATGAATTTGGCAACATTTTATTTGATGTATACTTCCGGTTTATAGCAGAATTAGTCCCAATCTCAATATGAATGCAAAGGGCTGTGGTAAGTGCATATCATGCATATATGGTCGGTTGTTTGGGGTAGGTAAAAGGATTAAGGTATAAATGGTAGTGTTTGTGTTTCAGTAAGTGTTCCTTTTGTTATATGTTTGTTTGATTTTTCAGTGAAGGCTTTAAGTTTTTTTTTCTTTGGTATGTTAAGATAGCTAGTTCCAGTTGTGTATGGTATATGGAAAGAATGAGTCCTTATAAGAGACCGTGTTGATGTGGTATGAAAGGGATGTGTAAATTTTGTGTGCTATGTGCATGTGGTGCTTGTAGATATTCTTTGTTAATATCTACAAGGTTACTTGTGATCGTGAGATGATTGTAAGTCTTTGTCCTTGTCATGCAGGTCCATGTTTATCTTTTTTTGTGTGTGGCTTGTAATACTAGGTGTAATTGTCTGTAATAAACCTGTTCGAGCTTCTCAATGTTGGGCTTGGTGTAGGAGTTGTATACAGCCCTACAGTACTCAAGTGTTTGGCCTTCATGGGTGTTTTAAGCTATGTGTTTGATATACAGTTCTGGAAGTTTCTCCTCAGGAACCCCAGTGTTCTGTTTGCTTTGTTTGTGATAAGTCTGTGTGTTTTGCTTTGTTTGTGATAAGTCTGTGTGTTTGCTAAAGTTGAGATTGTTTGTGAGGTGTGCTCCAAGGTATTAGTAGGATGTGGATATTAGCTATTGGCTGTGTAGAGCAAGGGTTTAGAAAATATGGGTTGCAACACAATACTGGATTCAGTTACATCATGGAAATCTTTGTACCAAAAATATGGGCATTGAGTTATGCAAGTAGCTTACATTCCAGGCGTGTGGCGTATAGGCCAGGCACGCATGAACACCCATGAGCGGTGACAAGACTCAGTGCCTTACCTTTGCAAAGTTCTTTTGCCATTTTCCAGTGTCCATATGTCTTTTGATTTGCTTTATCCAGATGAAAATAGCTTGTATTCCTAGCACAGAGTATATCATCTCTCTATATAGTAAATAACTCAGTAAAAAAAAAAAGAGAGAGAACATTTGGTTATTTGTGTCATATATCTTATTTTTTTTGTAATTTTCAATTTTCCATAATAGAGCCTGTGCCGCTGGTCACAGTGGCCAGGAATACGGTGCACAGCATGGAAATGGCATCCTCCCTGGAGCTGGCACTCTTCCAGTCATGGCTTACACACGTCACATTTGTTTATCAATGGGAATAATGCTAAAGCCCTCTTCTAAGCACCATATGAGTCAAATAATACTCCAAGAGGTTTGTGCGCTCTTGGCAAGTCTTTTCTGTAACCCTGGCCTTCGCTCATGACGGCAAGTTTGCGTCACTGTGGCCATTTTACCTAATGATATCATCTTCATGTCACCCAGACCACAGCCCAGATTTTTCCACGATGGGACCATGACATCATCCAGATCATAGGGGTAAATGATAATAATAGTGATATATATATATATATATATATATATATATATATATATATATATATATATATATATATATATATATATATATATATATACATATATATATTTGTAGAAAAGGTATGAATGAGAATGGATATCTTCACAATACAAGAGATGCATTTAACGTGTTAAGTATTTCTGACAAAGATAGAATCGAAACTGATTAGATACATCTCTTGTATTGTGAAGATATCCATCCTCATTCATACCTTTTCTACATTTGTCAACATGGATACGGTTCATATATATATAGATAGATAGATAGATAGAGGATATGAATATTATATATATATATATTATATATATATATATATATATAATATATATATATATATATATATATATATATATATATACACACACACACACACACAATAGAATGGACACACTGGGTCATGTGGGTAGTGCACAAAGTTAAATTGAGTCATGCTAAAAGATTATTCTGCTTTGAAAATAACAAGAAAAGCTTCAAGGCTTCTTTTGATAAATTATCGAATGTTAATTGAGCCATCTCCTATATTTTTATTGCTGTATGTTATTAAAAGACACAAATAGCAATACAATGACAGTAAAAGTAGGGATGCCACATCATATTTAGATATTATAAATATATAAAATTTCCAATATAATATAAGGAAGATTTATTGCAATATTTACCTTGTCTTCTTATTACAATAGATTATCAAAAAGGGTAAATGGCAATATAAATGTTTATCATTAGTAGCAGCATTAAATTTGAGATGTAATGGAGCAAATCATAGACAAAATCACAAAGAAAAGTCATAGACCTTTTGTGAATACCACCTGATGTAGAATGTAGGTGTGTTGTATTGTTGTGTGTTGTTGTCTGGTCTGAAAATGAAACCAACTTGTGGTGAAAGGGAGCACCTTGCACTTGTCTGGTCTGAAAGGCCCTTGCCATGACTTTTTTGACTGTTCAAGGGTGTATGTGTCATGTTAAGGGAGTCCAGAGGTCTACAGTGTTGATATGTTGAAGTAAGATACTGTTGTCAGAAAAAAAAGACTAGCAGAAGAATTAGGTGTGGATGGTATAGAAAGAAAAAGAGGGACTAAGAACTGTGCACCAGGGCAGAGTCAGAAGACGCACTGTCAAGCAGGACAGGTTGGGTAATACAAATCAGAAAAGCAGGGATTCAGTGAAGAATTGACCTTGTGATCCCATAATACCATAATATTTGTTCAAAGGCACTGTTTTGATGTGCTCCTATGGCTTTGTTCGATTTCAGTGTTATATGAAGTCAGTGAATGCTGTTGGTTGATATGTCAGGTAGGGGACTTGAGGGTAAGAACTAACTAGCACATCAGGTGTATTGTCTGTATTCATGAAAATGGATTGGAAGTGTGTGTTCAGTAAATGTGTTTTGTGTTCTGGCTCTGTCATAATAGTGTTATTAATGTCTTTCAAGGTGGTGATTGCTGTAGTTTCTTGTCTTTGTGACTTGAATAACTTAAAGAAGTGTTGAGTGTTGTTTTTAAAACTGTTTGCGAGATAGGTAGAAATGTTTGTTCTGTGATAAGGATGTTTGAAAGTTAGAGACTTACAGTTGGAAAGTTGTAGTTGGATCCAGGTGATTTCACAGTCTGTGTCAAGGTGTTTGGCCTTGGTTTAATGATTAGACTTGGTTTGGCAGCGATAAAATCACTACCACCTCGACATGCCTAGGGTCTTTACATGTGACAATCATGCTAATGAGAGGAGGGAAAGTTCAGCAGAGTCACTGTCAGAAAACAGCCATATCACAGTGCCTATTGTGATATCTGGTTGATGTGGTCAGATGATTTTAAGAAGTTGTGATATTATATTTGTAAAACTTCTAAAGTTAATGTTTAGCAGGTGGTTTGGTTATCACAAGGTGATGGTCTAAAGGAGGGCGATGTGGGGTGTGTGTAGAGGTAGGAGGAGGACAGGAAGTGGAGAGAGGAGGAGGTGGGAGAGGACAATAGGAAAGAGGAAGAAGTAGGGGAAGAGGTGAGAGGAGGAAGAGGTGGAGGAGGAGGAAGAGGCAGAGTAGGAGGAGGAGGAGGAAGAAGAAGAAGGTGGAGGAGGAGGAAGAGGAAGAGGCAGAATATTCAAATTCAAATTCAAAATACTGTATTCCATTTGTTACAGTGGTTATTTTTTATTATATAGTGATATACATATTAGTGAGATAGTACATATGAAAATCATTTAAGCATACAATCAATGGTAGTATATATAAATCTTGTCTATTCTTATATTTTGAAACCTGATATTGGTGATTTAAGAAATGTTCTTTTAATTTCTTTTTGAATGTATTTGAGTACTGAATATTTCTTATATTCCAAAGTAGTTGGTTCCAGATCACGGGTCCCCTATGTCTGTATGTGATCTTTTGATATATAGGGGGTTCACCTGTCTTGTTTGGACACAGGTTGTGTTACCTACAGTTGGAAGGGTTAAAAGCCATTTTGGCAAAAAACTGTGGATCATTTTATGAATTAGTATGCAAGTATCATTGTTGCATTTGTGTTGTACTTTAGCCAATTTAGTTTGTTTGTATGGGATAATGTGGTCATACTTTTTTATGTTGCCAAGCGTTACTCTGGCAGCAAAGTTTTGTAATTTTTGAATTTTCTGAATATGAATTTTGTTTACAATTTTGTTTGGTCATGGTTACAGAGATTTTGGTGAATTTTTTGTGACTAACTATAAAGATACATTGTGTTTTATTTGGATTTATCTTGAGGCCATGTGTCAAAGTATCCTTTTGTGAAACTGTCTCCTGGGTCTTTTTTATCAGTTCATCTAAGTTGTTTACAGAATCACTATGGAGAAATTGTGAATCATCAGTGCATTGAACAAGAAGTCAATTTTGGGCTATGATTGTGAATACTGTGAACAAGATTGGGCCTAATATAGGTCTGTGTCTCCAGATTTGAAATCTAGTGTTATTATGCCATGTTTCCAAAGCGATGGGAAGCCACAGATGACTAAGATGTATTAATGATAACAGTTGAATAATACGCCATAGCAGGTAATCTCGCTGATAAAGCGAAAAGCAATGCCATCCTAAATTCTCCCATTCTAATTCCTCAATGTTAGATTTCCTCAGTATGAATACAAATAGAGAGAACACAATAGTGATTGTAACAAAACTTACCAGTTGGTCTCTGATATAATGAGATCAGGATTATCAGTGAAAAAACTTCCAAAGGGTGTGAGGCCGAGGTATCCATAGGGAACTTCACCCCAGGATCGCCTTGGAACTCCTTGCTCCTGGGGACATGGTCCATGTGTCACCAGAGAAAACCTCTGGATCCAGGGCCTTTCTTCAGAGCCAACTTGGTGGCCATACTGGAAAGCGGCTCATCACTGTCCAACGTAGTCTATAGATTATGTCTCGCATGCGAGACCCCTGGAAGACAGCCAAGAAACATAGTGTCCCACTGGTGCGACACCTGGAAAATGTCTTTGCTCTGTACGACCCACTGGTGGGACACCTGGTGTTAGTGGTTAAACTTCCCCTTGAGTACTGCAGTTGTTTTTTGGAGGGGTTGGCTCTGTGAGCCCTCTTAGACTATAGTAGATGAGACTGTCTACTATGTATCTGGTTTTATCTCTTTGAGGAGGGCTTGTCTAGTGTGAGTTCCTACTGTGATGGCTGGCAGAGCATGAGTTGCATGCAGGTTGTGTGGCTGTGGCTGCTACACCACAAAGAAATGAAATTGCAGTTTAGCTAAGGGAACATACTGGCACCAAACTGAACTATATCCTAACATGGCACTCCGAGTGCTAAGCATTAATCATCATAAATATATGTGTGTGAGGGAATTGTATGAAAATGACAGTTTAATGCTTTGAGAATTATTTTTCTTCCAGCTTGTGCCAACGATGAAAATGAAGTACGGTTTGAAACAGTTGGTGTGCCATACTGTGGAGTACCATTCTTTGTGGCCGGGTTAAAGATTCTTCAGTGTCAGTCATATCGAGGAAGAGGAGGAAGAAAGAAAAAGGAAATAAAGATAGAGGTATGTGCCTGAATTTACTTTTTAATTTTGTTGAGCTTAATGTTCTATCATTTCTAAGAAAAATGGATCATGTCATTTTAATTATCTTCAACATTTATATGACTAATAGGTGAAACTTCAAATTTCAAGAGGTGTCCTAGAAAAGGGGAGTAGTTAGAATATGGGGTTATTGGGGGTCGGGTTGTACATGCCGTACATTATGAATGAAAATTCTTATATCCATTTCCAAAATTCATTCATTAAAAAAAAAGCAGAGACAACACCAGGATGTGCTTTCATCATTGGTACAGGGAGAGAATAGTTCTGTGAAATGAAGGTGCTTGTGGGGGATGTGAATGTTATACAATACAAGAAATTTTATTTTATATTTATCATGTTCCTTCACCTGTCAAAGGAGGTGATATGAGGTACTTGCATGATTGGCTAAGGAACATGAAGGGGTTGGGGTAAAGAGGTTGAGTTTAGAGGGATGTAATAAGGAGAAACTTGCCAAATGCCCCAAGAATTACTTTCTCTTACTCCCTACCTCCTGCTGACTTTAAAAAATGTGGCAAAAGAGCCTGGCACTTTTTGAGTAGCTATTTTCAATTGAGTCAGCTTAAACTGGATGTAAAAAGTATTAATAAACTTGTTCGAGTATCCTTGGCCTTCCAGGTTTAAGGTGGCAAGCCACCAATGGCTGATATGTTGTTAAAGACACTGTCAGGTTCAGAAAATTGGACTCTAGTTTAATGGCATGAAGACAACAGAGGCATCAATACATTATGATGATTAAATCATAGTGAAGCATTGAAATGGGAAATATACAGTATGATGATACACTTTAGATAGAAATATACATTGCAAAAAGGTTTAAATCAGGTAAAGATAAGTGGCTCACAATCTTCAAAAAAGAAAAACATTCTTTTGTGACTTTCCCTTTGTAAATAATTTATTCACTGCTGACCATTTAAGAGTACACACCTTCACTTGTTATATTTTCTTGTCTGTCTGTTACCTCTTTTACTTTATTCCCTAATCTTTCAATCTGAAAAAATCAATCTTTAAAAAACAATAGTATTTCATAATCCTGACAAGAAAATATGAATATTTTTCATAATCTTGTGGCCAGAGATCAGCCAAAAAAATATATAATTCTATCATTTATGTTCACTTGAATGGACAGCTTTCATTTGCCCTGAATTGGGTAGAAAGATGAATTATGGTGAATTGTCAGGGTTGGTAATAGCTCATCAAGAATATGACTTATTTTTGATAGATACATACATTAATTTTGTAGGGATGGGAACAAAGTCTTGTTGATAATTTGCATTTTATTAAAAGAAACAGCTCTCAGAAAGGAACTATATTTAGAGAAGGAAAATTAAGTAATAATCCCTTAATTTTTAGATTCTGGAAGTTTTCTGTGAAACAAGAAATATTCCACTTTCAGCTTTTCATGTGATATAGTCTGCTAAAGGATAAACAGAAAAATAAAACCTGTTTGTTCCAATGAAATGTTGCTATTGAGTGCTTTCTTGATGAGAATCAAAATTTCAAGTATCAATCTTCTTTAGTGAATACACTTGATAATGCATTTTGTGCAGAGCAGTTAATTGAAAATATATGCAGTTGCTGAAGTTATATGGACCTAGAAGCTTAGAGGTGACATTGGTTGTCTTTCCCTGTGATAAGGAGCCCCACATTGAGTTTACGCATCTGCTGAATTTTGAATTGTTGCAACATCACTGATAAGGAGAATACATATTTTAGGGTGAAATTCAGATTTTCTCCTACGTGCTGGTGTCTTGATACATTTGGCAGCTTACTTTACTGATTCTTGGTGCTATGGGTTTCTGAAGTTGCATTTTCTTCCTTTATTTCATAAGGGATGTTACTGGTTTCTTAGATACCTTAACCCCTTTTTATTTTATAATATCACATAAGGTTGGCTAAGAGCAGTAGTCCAAGAGAAGTATTTATACTTTTGTCTATATTCCATTATCTTTCATCTTTCAATTACCTGTCTCTGTTTTTTCAATGAGTTGCTATTGAAACCAAATTTACCCATGAAATACACCAAAATGGTATGATAATGTTACATCTGTTTTCCTAGCCGTGATGATACTAATTGCAGAGTGTTGAGATAGACCCCATTTCCCTTCTTTGCCCCCTTCACCCCCTTTGCTGCCCTTATCCCCCTTGCCCCCTGCTCCCATGGGCACTGGGAGGATACCTAGCTCACCTACACAAATTAGGGTCTTGTGAAGACATGAGTGAAAATGCTAAGTAGGAATGAGAAGGTATTACCATTGAATTGGCTCTCTCAGGCAGTGGAGAGTCACCTTTGGTTCATTATAACAAGTATTTGAATGCATTATTGAAAATGTCAACTTGTATACTGGAATGATGCATTAGTTATATTTACTTATTCTCTGAAGCTAACAGGTTCAGGTGCTGGAGTCATTGGGGAGGCAGGTGTTGGTGATGCTGGTGGTGAAGAGGACGAGCCTCCACAAAAACCTATCGTAAAAAAGAAAAAGAAAGCTGGTCGCACACACAAAGTAGGATGCACTGCAACCATCATTATGAAAGAGGTCATCTATTATCCAGAATTTCAGGTAAAGAAATATGCATTCCAGACTGATTTCTGTATTTATTTTAAATTTTATTATCATTATTAATATTGCAATAATAGATTTCTGTATAATTGTCAGTAGGCTGAACATTGGTCACTTCCTAATAAGATTGGCAGAACCTTTCCTTGTGATGATATTGAGCTTAACAGGTTTTAAAAAATACTTGTGAAAGCCTTTGAGGAATTACTGAATTTCATTTTATATAATTCCGATACTTTAAAGAACAATTTAGAAGCTAAAATTTGATTTGCATCTTAGATGTTGTTTCAAGTAATCATGCAGAAACAACAAACTTTGTTTAAGAAGTTTAGTCTCTTCAAACAATACTTTTTCTTTCTTTTTAATCCTTTAATGCTGAGTTCCTATGTAATGTATTATAGTGACTCTGAAGTTTCAACACAGCTTCCCCTGAAATTGCAATTTCTCTTCTTTTATTATTATTATTTTTTTCTCTATCTCTTTTTCCTTCTTTCATTTTCTCTTAATTTGCTGTTTACTTTTCATCAAATTTTCAGCTGTTTGAACACTCAAAAAACAACCGGATTGCAGTAGCTAGACAGCTAAAGGATGCCTTAAAATCAAAGACTCCAGTACAGAAAGACCGCATCATATACGTTACGGTTCCGGCAATGTCTGACCACTTTGGCCACACTGTTGGAATTGTAAGTGTTTTGGAAGTTTTTGTAGAATGTTAAAATAGTTGAATATATCTTTTTTGTGTTGTATGTAACATATTTTTCAGTGATCTTTTTCTTTTATTAAGGCATGTATATTATTGAAAATGATCAGCTACCTGAGATTTTATAGCACCTGTCTATCACCTATTATGAAGACATTACTAATGTCTGTTTTATTTTTATTAACAGGGCACAACAAAGGTCAGTATCTTTTTTTTTTTCTAACACACATGCATGCTAACTCACCCACTCACTCACTCGCTTACCCAATCACTCATGCACTTACTCAGTTACTTACTTACTCACTCACTGACTTGCACGCATTCATACACTTTAACTCACTCATTTTTTCATTCACTCACTCACTTGTTCATTGTTACACCTACTTACGCATTCACTCACAGTTACTCTCTCTCTCTCTCTCTCTCTCTCTCTCTCTCTCTCTCTCTCTCTCTCTCTCTCTCTCTCTCTCTCTCTCTCTCTCTCTCTCTCTCTCTCTCACACACACACACACACACACACACACACACACACACACACACACACACACACACACACACACACACACACACACACACACACACACACACACATATGTGCATACATACATACATACATACATACATATTAACATGCATTTACATGCACATATAAGAATCACTAATACATATCTGTATTTCTGTAATTGTGATGTTGCTGATGTTTGCATTCACCCTTTTTTCAGGTATTATTTTTTATATAACTTGGAATCTTTTTAGCATATCTAGATGCAATAGACAGTATTTAGAAGAGAAGTGAATGTAGTTTGGAAGGTAATTAGACAATGAAATTTCATAAATGAAAAGTCAGCAAAAGTAAAGATACTTACAATTTTCTTTTCTTTTTTATTTCAAGTTTTGGTTAACTTTTGCAAGTGTATATACAACCTGTTTCTTGTACTAGCATTAACAATGTTCATACTAAACAGCCACATCTATAGTCCCATATTTAACCATTTTAAATTATATTCTGCTGTGTTGGCAACCCGTTCTCCTGAATAATGTGCTCGACATTCATTCTTTAGACATTGGAAAGCATGGTTCTTTATGACTGTGCTCTTACGTTTTGCCCAGCTGTTTTCCTTTAATTTGTCTTGTCTGACTTTGCTGGACTTAATGATGTGAAAATTTTTAAAATGGAGGCTCCGTCAGAGCAGGAAGGTGGCCTTCAAAACCTTCCTTCTTGCTGTAGTGTAATGACCAACTAGCCTGAGGTAATAGACAAACTTAACATGGCGACTTCACCTGGGTGTTCTTCATCCTCATCTACTGCTCTGTCAACACATCAGGAGAATCTGCATAGCTTCAGTTTGCAGTCGAGCTATTGATAGTGCCTTCAATGGTCCTCATTGCCTCTGCCAAGGAGGTTATGTTTTGGTAGCTTTGGTTAGTTTGTGTTGTTCACTTGTTAACAGGATAACTCAGAAAGTTATGAATAGATTTTTATGATATTTTCACCAGAGGTGTGTCTTAGCCTAACTAAGATGCTTTTAAATATTGGTGGTGATCTGGATCATGATATGGATCCAGGAGTGCATCAATTTACCCAATATATAGGGGTAACTATTATTATCATCAATAGCTTTATTCCCTACACCAAGGAGATTATATTTATAGATGTCACCAGTGTACTTGAGAAGAGGTGATATTAACTCATTAACGCCGGTATATTTTGAAGCCGAAAATAAAAGATTCCGGGCGGCTACAAAATTGGCGGGCGGGGCTGCCCTGAACTCTACCCACTCGCCAGCCGCAGCCCGCTGCTGCGCCGGAGTGCAAGCCCCCATACAGCGTCACACTGGCGGGACGCCTGGCAATTTTTATTTTTTCGGGTGTCTCATATGTGGGACACCCGTCGTTAGTGGGTTAATGTAATTCTTCAAGTGTGAATAATTTTATTGCATTAGTGACCAACATTAAGGACATGAGACGTGAATCCATACTATTGCGTCTCCCACCAGCTCACAAGTCTGTGTCTAAAGAGGACCCAGAAAACAAGTTAAAGGAAGTACTCAAGATAGCATACAAGACTACTTCCATCTCCTTCCAGCAGGTGGCGGACAGAGCTCTACGTAAGCCACGTTCAACGCCAAGTACTCGACTGCTGGAACAGGGTTACAGTTCCTCATCTTCAGGTCCTTATACAGTACTCATTGGTCTCTATTCCTTCCATCGTCCAGCCCTGTCTTCACAGAAAGGGACAACATGACAGAATCCAAAACCAGGTCCACCTCTTTCTCCAAGAGGATTATGGGCAATGTTTTTCGCAAGTGAGCCACCAAACACCTGTGGACAGAATAGCAAGATGCCTTGCCTGAATATAAGTGCAGAAGATTTGTTCCTCTCTGTTCTCAAAGAAGGATACAGGATTCCTTTCTCTACTCTATCTCCTCTCACATCAGTGCCACATCTAGGACATTTTCTCTAGATTCCAAAAGGGAAAGGCACTGGACTTAGAAGTCCAGCTACTGAAAGAAAAAGGTGTAGTAGAACCCGCATCAAAGACACCAGGGTTCTATAGCCACATGTTTGTGGTAACCAAAGCAAATGGAGGTTGCCAAACCCTATTAGATCTTTCTGTCCTAAACAGATACTTCCACACAAACAAATTCAGAATGGAAACAGTGAAGACGGTAATGTCAGCTTTACCAAAGGGTGACTGGATGGTTTCCAATGTCCTTAAGAATGCTTAATTCTAGGTGCTGATACATCAAGTCAGCCGCAAGTACCTCAGGTTCAGCTGGAAGAACCTACCTTTTCAGTTTTGGGTCCTCTGTTTTGGCCTCTTTAAAACGCCACTGTCTTCATGAGAATGATGGCTTTGGTTTCAGTTGCTTTACATTGCCAGGAAATTAGCTTCCTCAGATACTTAGACAACTGGCTCATTCTAGTTGGTTCTCACCAACCTGTGCTCCACAATGGGAATGATAATAAACTTTGTAACCCCTTTAGGGATGGAAATTAATTCTCCTCTTGTTTTTTTTTTCTCTGATGCAGAAAACCTTTTTAGGGATAAAAATTAATTCTCCTTTTGAAGATTTTCCCAACACAGAAAAGACCAAAAACCTCTGTTGCCAGAGAATGAGGAACATCCAACTACAGCAGATTCAGATGTGAGAGAGTCACAAGGAGACTACATTCCTTTACCTTGAGACAGCAAGGTGGTTGGAGGAACAAAATCTGTGTAGGGCAGTCTCTCCAGATGGCATCTTCAGACTTATACCTTTACACACATGTTTCAGTGAAAGGTTAGGGAACATCATTTCAACAGGAATTAACAAGTGGAGTATGGACAACACACAAAAGATTCCTACATATCAACATCTTGGAAATCTGAGCAATTTTTTTAAGGCCTCCTCCACTTCACAGGGATATTACAAGATAAGACAGTGGCTCTGTTCTTGGACAATGCCACAGGACTATCATATCTGGCCGAGGAAGGTGGTGCGCATTCAACAACACTCTAAACAGGAGCTCGAAAAGATCTTAGAATGGAAAGAGGAAAACAATGTCAAGATCCTCATTCCGTTTGTCAAGGAGACCTCCAATGTGTTAGCAGACTGCCTCAGCAGACACAATGAGATCATTTATATAGAGTGGACTCCAACAGGAGTGTATGCAATCTTCTATGGAAGTTTTGGGTTTGCCCAACAGTGGATCTTTTTGCTACAAGATTGAACTTCAGGCTGCTGAACTTCATGTCACCTTTCCAAGACCTCTTGTCAGGAAGGTGCTCAACAAGAAATAAACCTCCCAAAGCACCACACTCATTCTGATAGCTCCATTTTGGCCACAAAAGGAATGGTTTCCAGACCTCATTTAGGTGACAGTACACATGCCTCAATGTGTTCTTTATTGCATGAACTTATTATGACAGCCACATGTCCACAGGTTTTTCAGGCTCTACACACACTTCAGCTAACTACATGGGAGACTATCAAGCAATTCCTCTATCATTTAGACTACTCCTCAAGAGTCATGCAATACTTGGTTAAATTCAAATGACAAGTCACAGTGGAAAAAGTATAGAAAATGGTGCAAGAATCATCACCATCATGGAATGTAGACGTAGTGCTTAAGGACTTTATGCATCCACCAAATTTAACCAAAAAGACTTTTTCTGGTAGCCCTAGCCATTGCTAAGAGGGTCATAGAACTTCATGCCCTTTCCAGTACTATTACCAAGCCAAGGGAGGACCTGTTACTGTCTTAGGTTCCAGAATTCATAGCCAAAACAGAGACAGACATCAACCCAATTCTAAGGGAATTCCGTATAAAGAATATTTCTACAATTGATAGGAGGGAAGATGAAGAATGTCTGCTGTGTCCAGTATGGGCTCTGAACTGGTGCCAGCACAGAACATCTTCCTCCACAAGACAGGCCTTGCATGTCTTTGTGTTAGAGCCCAAAGAAGGCCAAGCCCAAGGCAGCAATTTCATTCTTTCTTAAGGTACAGTCAGACTACCCCCAAATTTCACTGGAATCCAGCTATTTTGTGGGCTGGAACTAGCCCACCCATCCGTGGTGTTCACACTGCGTTAAGAACCAGCAGAAACTCGCTATGGATCCCGCAATATTTTCCCTAACTCTTGCTACTCTTTCATATTCCCTCTTCTAGGAAGGAGTAAATTGCTTCAGAATTCCACATTTCAAAGATTCATGGGATCTGAGGTTTCAAATTGAAGTTGGCGACTACTTTTTCTTTGAATTTTAGCTTGAATATAAATGTAAATATTGAGCTAAAAATAAATATGAATAATTCTTAATAATTTAAAATATATAATGATATTTATGTTTTGATATGAAAATATATGCACCATACATACTATAGATTCTCAGCATGTGCAGTTTCTCCATTTGTCTACTGATGGATGAGTGGGTATCCATCGCATCAAATGTGTGAGCAAAAGTCCAGTGGATTGAGTCCATTAATGGGCAAATTCTAACAAAAATTGCTGGATTTCACAAATCTATGGGTAGTCTGACTGTATCTTCAGAGAGACTATTAAGACAGCTCATGAGTCCTTTCCAGACTCTTTATTCCCACCCATCAAGGTACAAGTTCATGACATTTGGGGCATAGCCACCTCCTTGCTTTTATGGAAGAATAGCTCAATTGTATCCATTCTGAAGGCAGCTTGCTGGAAGACCCATTCAGTATTCACAGACAATTACTTGAAGGACAGTCAGAGGCAAGAATAAGGCATTTTTTGCTCTGGGACCATTCATTACTGCTGGATACATAGTGGCTTAGCTTTTCTTACATATATAATCACCTACCCGGCACCAGTCAGTTCACCCAGGGTAGCAAGTTTGAGGTCAATGAGGTTTTGCCATATGCTTAACATTATGTCCTCCAAACGTCATTCTTGTCTTAGGAACTCACCTAATGGTGAGTGGCAAATTTTAATGTGGACTTTTCACCCTTGTCATATGCCATACACAAGACATGGCCCACCACCTAAAGTGTGGGAATCTGCTAGAGTAAGAAACAGTAAGAAATTACATTTTCATACCTAAAATGAACTTTTTCACTTTCCTGTTTCTTATACTCACACTCCTCCCATCCTCCCTACTCCATTCCATGTTTCAAGAATGAATGACGAGTACATTGTGCGGGAGAACAGGATTGCCAACACAGTGTTATATGACTTATAATAATTCAATTTGGGACCCAGCTGGGCTATATGAACATTGTTAATGCTAGTATAAGAAACTGGTAAGTGAAAAAATTCATTTTAACCCTTTACCATGCACACATTTTAAATACCTCATATATATATATATATATATATATATATATATATATATATATATATATATATATATATATATATATATATATATATATATGTATATGTATATATATGTACATATGTATATATGTATTTAAGTGATCATATATGGTCATTTGCCTGATAAAGAGTTAAGTATGAAAATATAATTTTGCAGTAATGTAGGGGGATAGGGAGGGAAATGGAAATCACCCATGGTTTGTGGTATTATAACTAATAGATCATGCTTTATTGCAGCAGGCAGCAGCTAAGAGATTGTATGTGAAAAATGACTTTTATGGACACAATGAACCAGGGTCAAGCAAGAGAGTTTACTATCCTGTTAAACAAGAGAAGTTAAATATGGCACAGCTTACGAAGAGGATGAAAGTGGATGAAGACGACATTGAAGCTAGAGCAAAAGAAGTGCGAGAAATGTTGCAAGGCATCATGGGATTAACATATAAGGTTGGCTTTTTTTTTTTTTTTTTTTTTATTTTTTTCTTTTCCCTTTCCTCATTCCAGCCTCTTTTCTAATGTTTTTCATACTCCTACATGGTTTCCCATGGAAGGAAATAAGTATTATGAAAATTATTGATTTGAGCTCTTTTGCAGCTTTTGAAATATGTACACACACACACACACACACACACACACACACACACACACACACACACACACACACACACACACACACACACACACACACACACACACACACACACACACAACACACAGTATATATATATATATATATATATATATATATATATATATATATATATATATATATATATATATACATATACACATACACATATACACATATATACATATACACACACAGATATTATTTATATTTATATATTATATATATTTATATATATTATATATATTTATATATATATTTATATATATATATATATATATATATATATATAATATATATTATATATATATATATATATATATATATATATATATATATATATATGTATATTATATGTATATTTATATTTTATTTTTATATGTATATATTTGTTTTTATATTTATAGTTATACATATGTGTATGTATCTTTGTGTTCAGATTGGCCTATGATTTATTCTGAAAAGAATTTTGAAGTTGATATTAATCTTAATTTTTATTTCTTTATGATTATAATTTTTTATGAAAGAAGGAATGTTTTAATGCCAGCAAACCTGCAATATTATATTACTGTTCCAGTTTCTTCAGCTTGTTTAATGTAGGATTTTAATGTAAAATTAGTTATTTGACCCATAAAAGGTTTGCACGGACCTATTCTTCATGATTATTGCAAGTCATAAACTAGTGTGATTTTTTATTAGGACTTCTTCAGTAACATTTCACTGAAGGTGTAACACCATCTGTGCCAGTGCTGTCTGTGCAGCATGTGCTGCTGGCACACCGTACGGAGATACATAATTTGTCTAGAGAATGTAGGAAGTGGATTTTTAAATTTTTTCCTGTGTTTCTTGTAAAAGTAATATATATATGAAAAAATGTCTTTTTCGGACACTTGCCATTGGACGGTAAAATATCCCCCCCCCCCCCCCCCCCCAAAAAAAAAATAAAATAATAAATAAAAAAAATAACTCGTAAAAAGTGTTTCTTACATTCCCAAGATAAAGGATGATTCTGTAAAATAAAACGATCATAATGACTGTGCAATTTTGTTGTGATTTTATGTATTTTTTGCAAAATTGTCAATTTTCATTTTTTTTTTCTTTAGTGATTTTTATTTTTGGACTATAACTCAAAAACTGTTCGGTTGATTTTGAAAAATTCTACCACGGGGGTCAGGCTAGTGTCTAAGTAAAAGGGTGTGAGTTTCCTCAAAATAGGCAAGAAATAAAGAAAAAAAAAAAGTAGACTATCCCCTTAATTTCAAATGGCTTTTGCTATATAATCTTTGATTAGGTTTCACTAATTCTTAGCTTTCTCTCCTATGAAACACAGCAACCAGGGACAACAGAAGC